AATGTTCAAGAATCCTTTGTCCTATGTTATCTGATAGATTGCACTAATGACATCTATGGATACTGCCATTACCAGGGCTTTCTGCAGCTTTTTTAGTCATCTTTCTAGTCTGATATCTTGCTTTTCCAAGATTTTCTGATATTTTCTGAGATGGTGCATGTTGGTTGGAGCCCATCAGCTTATCACTTTAAACATTATAATTGCGAAGGATTGACACTCTATCTGCTAGTTTTACATACTCTATGAACAAAACTAATCATTATACAATGTCCATCAATTTTCTCATTCGACATCCATGTATTCTTGGTACTGAGGTACTCTGTGAATCTTTTGTACATGCATCAAGGTGAGATAGAACAAGATAAATCCAAGGTAATATTTAGTCGTCCCTTGAATGGTCTTTATCAGCAGCATGCATGAACATTTATGAGCTTTATCCGAAAATGCAGCTCATAATGTTTGATGGTGATGGGACTTCCTTGCAAGAACAGTAGGCTGCCATGTCAACTATTTTCTCAGAGTAAGGTTAAACTAATCTGAACTATTTCAGGGACATCATTTCTGAGAGGAAACTGCAGCTCAGAGGATCAAAGAACAAGTAGTCATATTCTGACCTCAATTTTCTATAGAGCTCTTTCCTTGATTTGGCATTATTAATGGTAGATTAAGTAGTCTTCCCTGCTAGTTCTCATTCATGTGTTTTGTCAGTCTCTAATGTTGTGTTCTATTACTGTCAGTGATGTATAGGAATAACTGTTTATATTCTTGATCATACACCTTAAAGTGTAAACATCATTTCTGTGGATTCTCCTCTTGTTTGATTACCTTTTTATCAGCAGATTCAGCAATAAAAAACAGATGAATTTCCCAAGAAACAAAGCTTGCAATGCTAGAACATCTGTGGGGCATAAGCTTTGTAAAGGGAATACGGATTAAGATGGTATAAACATGTTCAAAGAAATTTATAAATTCTCTGGTTAGAAAGAATAGGTGGTGAATTAGAATTGGTCAATATGAGAAGATATGGGCTAAAACCAAGAAAGCTTTACTAGAAATAACAAAAAGAGATAAAAATGCCCTTGATTGAATTATAAATAATATCTTAGAGCAGAAAAGGTAAATGTGGTCAAAGAATTATATAAAAATGTCAAATATCCAAAGTAATTACTTTGATAGCATTTCCAGATTGGTCTGTTTCAACTCCCAGTTGATCACAATTGGAGCTTTTGACAAGTCCAAGTATTCTATTCTGTGTTTCCTTGTCAGTCATCATTTACTTCTCAAAAGTGATGGGAGACCTTCTGCAAATCTATGTAATAGCTGCAGTATCCCACAGGGCCCCTTCCAAATTGTATGATAACCTTCATCTAGTCAAGGAATCATGGCACCCCTTCAGGGAAGGTGGATTTGGATGTCTGGTAGATGAGACAATCACATCAAGCAATGCATCCCAAAAGCATACAGGTGTTGGGCAGCCTTAATTGCAGTAGATGAGACAGCTCAGTTCTAGCTGCAGCTAAGATTTCATTGGTTTGGTCTCTTTAATGATACCATGACTCAGTCCAGACATTTGCAAGTTCTTCATCTGATCTGAAAACAACCTTTTACTGTTCAATTTTCCGTGTTTTGTTTGCTTGTACATCTCTTTATGTATGAACTGAAAACAACAAGAAAGAGAACTGAATGCTCTTGGTTTAGTAATTGATAGAATATATTTTTCCGATCTTATATAGTTGGGACATTACGGTTCGTTAGTGTCACTGTATCCACCTGTCTATGAATTATTGTTGAATGATGTGGTTGTGGTTATGATTGACAGTACCTCTTCAGGTTGCCTGTAGCTGTAGGTGGTAGTGTGTCTGAGAGTGATGCATGGAATTACTGGCTATCAAGCATGCAACAGTTTTATTCTAGCTTTATCTGTGATAGATGCATGGTCTTACAATGACATCTGAAATAGAAAGCACTCAACAGAAATGATTGAGTGGTTGTCACTGTTGTACAAAGCTTTTGGTGAGTGGTCAACCTCTTTTGATTGATTTGTCTTTCATGGCATGTCTCTAACTGGGTTTTGTAGGAATGAGACTCAGCAAGGAGAGAAACCAATGCAAGTATATACAGAAACGCTTTTGCAGTTCAGGTAAGTAGCTTAGCTTAGCTTAGATGATATCAAGCCGCAAGATATGCCATGACAATTTCCAAACACATGCACTAGATGGAGCACCTTTAATTTCTTTGATTTTGTTGTTATTTTTCCGTGCAACTTGAATGTTGTTATCTTACTGCGTAGCAATATGTGACGGTTCTCAGATAAGCTTTGATGTCATGATAAGATTATTCCTCAGACATTTAGAGTTTAATTTGCAAGAACTTCCTTTTATATATATATTGTCAAGATCGCATATTTAGATTTTACATTGACGGAAGCCTCATGCACTATGCTACTCTTTAGTTTAATGATCGTTCTTGTTAATCCATCAGTTTCAATCTTTATCCATGGAATATCACATGAACAGTGCAAGTCGGTATCTTATTTCATAGAGCCCTTTCAATAGTTCACAAACAGAGGTCACTAAAGACTCCATCTTATATCATAGATGTGTTGTGTCATTTGAGAATCTATGCTCAATTGGAAGTAATGTCTTTAGGTGCTTATGCTAGTGTTGGTGTTTGGTTACATAAAATGGATCTTATCCCTTTGTCACATGACAAACAACTATGAAGACAGTTCTTCTGTGTGTGTTCATTTCTTCAGACAACATTTTGCACTGCACTAACAAGAGTCTCAGCCCATAAGATAAATTGCATTGAGTCATACACAGTAAGATATGCACATTGTAAGTCTCCTTATGAGTTTTTTATTATAACTCATAATAAAGCCAGAATAATTTTTTTTATCAGAGTTGTTTGCTCCACCAAATTCAGTGACTGCATTCTGTGGAGGTTTGATATTGACCTCAGTATGGCACCTTCAGGACTGAAGACAAGCATTAGGAAATTTGCACTGCCAAATCCACAAATGGAGAGACCAATTTATGCTTGGGGAAAGCTTGAAAACAAGTGATTATTGTTGTTGAAGTATCTCAAGAGAGGCTAAAGTGATCATAAAGTTCATTCACCATAAAGTTACTGTGGAAACCAAGAATCACTTGAGAGGTGATGGTGATTGTTGATGAAGTGATAGTGTAGTTCACTCACCATCAAATCAAATCATCTCCATTTTCCGGAAAAAAAAGAAAAATCCATCATCCAATAATAATAGCCATGTGAGTTTTTTTTTTTTATTGATTGGCTGCTACTCATGATATCAGAATTCTCTGCAGACCATTTCCATCAACAATTATTATGAGCTGATTCAGAAACACTCAAACAGAACCATTGGGGCACTCTCTGCAAGCAAAGAGCTCCAACCTTCAAAAGAAGACTAAAACACCAATCTGTTTAGATGCAAAAATGGAAGGCATAGACAGTCATATAATGTAGTTGCAATAGAGGTGATCTGCCACAGATGCTACATAAAGTGAATTGCTTGATGCATCAATCACCACTGTTTCTTTACAAGTTTGCCTACCCTAGATTAGCTTTCTACTCTGAACAAAATATGACAGGACATTGATAACCTAAATAAAACATGCCTCCAATTTATTTACAGATTGTCCCATTATAGCATTTTTCTTTTTAATTTTCATATGAACTTCGGAGAAAAACTCTCCTTTTGCTTCTCCAGTGTTCTGATTCAATTGTCCACATTTTGCAGGGTCACAACTGCCGAAACCATGATAACCTTCCTGTTGTTTTCGACATTAAGATTTCATGACAAAGAGATTGACCTTCTCCGCAAGTCATTTGACCACACATTGCTCAACTATCGGCGAGTTCATCTAGTGCAACTAATCACTCTTCTAGTCCATCTATTCTCAAGAAGCCTGCTTACTCAGAATGAGACTTCATCATTTGGCTGGTGCGATATTCCTTCTAGTGCTTCTTCTTTTGTAATATTGACAAAACAAGAAATTCTTCCAATTAAATATTCACCTAATTATCTTCAATTATGGTAATTTTCGCCATGGTGTTAATCTTGAACGGCCAGCTTTTTCTACGTTTCTGAGTCTCCGAGAATATGCCAGATGCTAAAGCCTGCTGAAGCCACAGCTCAAACTCATCATCCTAATCAATCATCTCAGCATCCAATCCCCAAGGATATCTGGAGGAATTGGATCGCAGCCCTGTGTTGTCCAAACCAACCATGTTCACATGAAAAGTTGGCCGATGAGTGTCAGGCCTACATTCCATTCCCTGCAAACAAGGATTTCAAGGAGTTACATGCGAAGGACTAGAAAAACTATAGCAGTTTTATATTTTTTTCAATGATTCATGCAAGTTTCTTAAGTCAATGCATGATCACAGACATATGGTCTTAAGTTTCTTGAGGCTTTGCCTACTGAATGAACCATATAGGACCTGTATTTCCTTCTCCATTACCTGGATTTGCCAAATTAAATAATCTTAAACTAATAGTTAGGTCATGTTGCAAAATGCATAGCCTGCGTTTCACCATGATTGTTTGAAAAACAGAGCAATATCAGTGGCTTTGTTGGAGTACAATTACTATTCCATGGAAAACTACTATATTGTTAATTATCATAATTCCGTTAGGTCAGGTAACCGTAATCTCAGTCAGACAGAAAAGGGATATTGATGCATCTGATGATTTCTTTTGCACAAAGGGCTAAGAAAATAATCAATCTTCCTTCAGGCCTCTTCTGGAAAGCCTTTGTGACTACTTAGGCTTCTCAATTCTTATATAGACAATACCACATGTGCCTCACTCATTTATGCTTCTTACAAGACAAATGTTGTAAGACTGGCCATGCAACCATAGTGCAGGCATAACAAAGCTGGCTCTAATTTCTAATCTGTGTTGACTACTGCTTGAAGTAACACTTTAATGGTTATAATGCTCAATCCTTAAACATGCAGCAATCACTGGGACAGATTCAACAATCAGTGCATCATACAAGGACACGAAGAACAGCTATTATGTGTATAATTAGTTGTTGCTTGGAACATAAAAAGTTGGTTCGAGTGAAAAATGTGCAAATAGAATGGTAGCAAGCTTTATATGACAACATAAAAAATGTGGTGCCAGAATGCTTAAACAAGTTTTTGTAAGCATGGCATATTTCAATGTGGATAATGTTATCATTAGGTGCTTCTTTGTGCCTTAATTCAGGCTTTTAAATCACTTTTATGATGTCAAAATGTACCTATCCTATAACCATGCTGCTATTCAGGTTGAATAATTATTGATCATTTTTCCGAAAGAAAAAATAAATTGTATAAGAGCAGTCCATATAACGATAATAAGTGAAAGCTTACACCTACCGTTTATGCCACACCAAAGCTACAATGACAAGACTATATTTGGCCAAGGACGAATTAATCTTCAATAAAATTTCAACCTCCCTAATTCAACAACAAGAAGCTGTAATGTGTCAACTTACTTTGGGTTAGCTGCATAGATTTTTTGTTGTTATTGAGCCTTCGACTTTCTCATCAGCTCTCCATTATTAAACATGACAGATTGACATCAACTGACTAAATTATAAAAATTAAAGCCAATTGTAAGTGGTAATATGCATATGCATCTCCGTCGATAACTACTAATCTAATCATCAATAGCATATTTCTTCAAGTAAAAGGAACCCATCAAATGTAAGTAAAATTTTATGATTTTACAAAACATAAAAAATGCAACAGATGATAAAACAATAAAAAAAAATCTGACCTGACAAGAAGCCCACTCGGACACATCAAATATTTTGCTCTCTGCACATACAAAAGCTCGTGGTATTTCAACCTAAAAAGGTAAGAAATTCATAGCCAAAATGATTAACAACATAATGCAACATTAGATTCAACAGATAAAACTAAAATGTCTCAGTCCTTTTATACTAATAGACACCTGATAATCATGGGCAAGAGCAAGGATTTTAATTTCGAATAATACCGTCTGTACCGGGCGATACGTAACGGTTCGCCAACAGACCGGTATATGGACCGCTCGTTACTGGGTGGTACCATCAATTGGGGCTGCTTCCGCCCCGTTACCACCCTAAATCGGTCGATGACTCACCGCTCGCTACCGGGTGATATTAGCCAAGGGAGAGCCGAGGGACAAGAAAGAAGAGGGAGAAGAAGAGGGAAAATAAAAGGGAAAACCTAGAGATTCGACGTCGCTCTCCTCAATGATCCCGATCCGTCGTCGCCCTCCCTCGCTGGATGTCGCAGATGAGATGTCGCCAACTCCTCGTTTGAGGTGACGAGGCCTCAGCATCGTCGGGGACTTCTTCTCATTCACGAGGGGAGAGGAAGCTTCGGCGACATCGCGGGGAGAAAAAACGGAGCATCGTCGAGATATATATATATATATCTCAGGGTGTATCGCTCGGTACTCTGTACCGTACTGTACCGAGCTATGCTCGAAACACCGATACGGTACGAAATTACGATCCTTGGACAAGAGCACTAAAAGTTTTTCTTTCTTTCCATGAAAAAGGCAAAACAAAAGGGTAAAGTAATGTATCTAGTTAATTTTGTCAAATGGCTTCAAATTAAATCCATGGTACCAACTACACCAATCAGTTTCTAGGACAAAACTCTTGCAGCATGACAAATTGGTAACTATAGGCAGACTGCTGATGGAACTACCATAAGATGTAACACCGACTGCAAATGAGACTTGCATCTGTGGTCCAAGATACTATGTAGACAAAGGATTCACCTTATTATGTTCCTCATATTTTTGCACGTATATTTACAGACTCTGTAGCACTACAAAAGAGATTAGTTAAAGGTAAAAAGAATAAAGGCATTATTTTATGTCTGTCTGTTCTCGTGCATGGTTCTCAGAAACAAAGAATGGTATATCCACTCTAATTGGAAGTGGCAATTGTTCCAAACAACCAATAGCTTAGTGTTACAACAAACAACATGATCTGTGTAGCAGTTGTTCTCAGAAATTGTGATATATCTTATCACAATTTGGATTGATAAATGATTGAGTTATGTTTGGTCATCTCTAGATTGATTTCTACAGTTCAAATATTAGTTAAAGCAGGTCAGTGTGAACCAACCAGTGGAATTTTGGTATGAGCCCAAAAACACACACTAGTTTTGGCACCAGATCTTCACCTGAGTGCCATATATGTTCAACATGTGTCAGCTTGACTCTCCAACACTAATATCTGAAGAATGATCCCATATTCAGTAGTTTAAAGGCAGTCGAGATGTATACAAAGGCATTCTTATAGTTATAAAGACTTAAAGAATATATAGCATCCATTGTTTTTGTTTAACATAAGCATAATTGACAACACCTAAAAAGCCTCAAAGTAAAGAAGAAAATTAACATATAATATACTAAAAACTGTGATGCTGAAGAGAGGAAAACCTATATGTCCTTAAACATAAACAATACCTTCTGAGGTGGCATAACAACTGGTGAGCACCCACTTTCTACCCACCCATCTCCGTCTTTGGCTTGATGATATTGGGAGCAATCCTGATTTAATAGAATATCATAATAAGACTCCAAAGGTCACATAACATTCTTCGCATGCGAAGTTGTACACAAAAATAATCATGTCTAAAATTAGATTAGTGTCTCACCTGACACCACCTTGCCTTGGCTTTACTTCTATTAGTGCATATCCATATATGAGAATTTCCACACTTTGTGCACTCAATACACCTAGATTCTTCGGAACGGTACTCCACCCCACCCTGTAGTATGATGTGATCAGATAATAGCTAAGTACTTTGGATCCCACAAAATAACTAGTTTGAATGTACAAAGGGCAAGAGAATAATCCAAAGTGACATTCCAAAGTGAAAATTTGACAATAAAAGATGCACACACTGGGTCAAAACATAAATAAAGGGGATAGAAGCAAATATTTAGTCAGATAACCACCCAACACTGGTTGTTCCACATTGAATATGATGCTCAAAAAATATATAAACACATCTCTTAACTATTCCTTGAAAAAAGGCACAAACCCGAAAAAGAAGTTCTTCCTTCACAATGTTCTTTTGACGAAATACTGCCAAAAATACATAATAGCAAGAGAAAATCTGTAGTTTCCATGCTAAACAAACTCATCAAGAATCTTTGCAGGTCAGTTGGGTCATATGTGAATCAAGAAATTACACGATAAATTTTGATAAAGTTTACAAAAAGCACAGAATACTCTTGAATGGGTGTACATCATGCCAAAGCAACTGGGAGCAACATTTGGACAGTTTAACTTTAAAGACCATCTCCTGTGCAAGGATACCTACCTTAAACGTATTCTATTAAGACCTTCAGATTCAGATGCATGACAAACATTTATAACAAAGTAACTACTTTAGCATTCAGTACTACAAAAACTGAATGCATGGGATGTGAGCTGATAGGACATGTATTTATAACTACAAGTTTGAAAATATAAAAAAATGACAAAGTTGTGCCACACATTTTATACATCATGATATATATACCTGTTGAGATGTTACAGAAGACCTGTGACACACTCTCCCAGATTCTTCCTTCCTCAATTGTTCATCATAGTTTTTCTTCTTTGTGAAATCTGAAAGAACCTGAGTTTTTTTTCCTTTTTGCTTATTAGTTAAAAACTATAATATAAACATATGGAAAAAAGAAATCAGACCATGAATTATTTCTGTATTACTCAGGAGACCAAGAAAAAAATTATTTTCTAGATATAATTTACCTCATATGCACACCGAAGCTTTTTAAACGATTCACAAGCTAATGAATTTCCCATATTTTTGTCAGGATGCACAAGCAAGACCTAGGAATTCATAGACACAAGTTAACTTGTGACATGCTATGCATCAGATAAGGCTATTTTAACTGAAGCAACATTTCTGTGCCAAGTTGCAGACCTTTTTATGGTATTCCTTCTTCAATATATTAGGATCAACATCCTTATTCCTAAGAAAGCCCAGAACTTCATAATGGTTTGAGCTGTTCATTATCCTTTCTATCTCAACGAACGAAGTCAAGTCCACTATGTTAACCTTACTAGAGGAAGCATCCTTCTGAGTATTTGGCATGTTTGATACCTTGGGTGTTGCGCAAGATGATTTAGAATATGTCACGTCTTCAGTCTCTTTAGACAGAGGGAAAATTTCACTGTCAAAAGGAAAGTCTTCTATAACCTGTTCTGGTTCCTTTTGCTCTTTAACATGTATGCCTTTACCATTACCATCATATCCTTGTAGCAACTTATTCAATATGTCATTGGAAATAAAAGAAATATTTAATGACAAAAGAACTCCACGCAATCCAACATGAGCATTGACACAATAAACTGCATAAGCAGTTGCCATTAAAATCAAGAACCGTGCATGATTCAGAGAAAACATATAACCTGCACACAAACAAAGTCCCCTCAATAGAAACATCTAGCAAGAGATTAACGTAAACCTAAACAGGGTAAAATGATTTTCATACCTCCAACTATTAATAGCATTGTTGTTATCCAAACATAGCCATACATCCACATGATCAAAATGCCATAAAACCCAACGATCAAGAGCCCAGGTGTGAAGCCCAAATAGTGAATTGCAGCAGCGGCAGCTCCCTGATGAAACACATTTATATGTATATTTAGCAGAACCTACTGGACTTCCTCATATAAAAATTTCCAATGGTTAAATTACTTCTCCCATATTGATAGACTATTTCACGAGCAAGAGCATATATTTGTTAGTGAAATACTAAACACAGAAGAACTCAAACGAACAAAATCAAGCACAGTGCAGGAAATGAAGGTCACTGTTAATCTGAGCACAAAAAAGAAAGCAGGCTGGAGATTTTGAATCTATCCTATCCTACTGCTAAAAGTAGGAGATGAAGTGAGGGGAAGAAGTGATAGCATACAACCATGAGTCCCTTACAGATACCAGATAGAAAACAAGCGTGTGTGCCAGAATTTTGTCATCAAACGAATTAATATCAATTAGATAACTTCATAATTGCTTCTTCAAAGTGACAACTAGATACAACAAGTAGAAAATAACTTGTTTCCAAATTTCTATAACAAGGTTGGAGTTTCCTACAACCATCTGCATACACAGTGACTATATATGATATTTATATTTATAAAGTATTAAATAAATAAAGAAACCACATATTTCAGGTAGAAGATGTTTCTAAAAAGAGGTTTAAAGCAAAAAAGAACATCACCTTTCACTTCATATTTTATAACTATATGCAGAAACATTATGCATATTTTAATACATGAATAGATATCAACCATCTGTGATTCATGGGGTTGACATCAGAACCCCAGTAGCAGTTAAATGTGCCATTAGTGACATTGCAATAGAAGACTATGATCGAAACAAAAACAATCTATTTTGAGTTGAAACATCTATCTTGTAAAAGAAAAAAAAAATGAATTTACATATAATATACTAATCCTATTGTGATATTCATGATATTATACTGTAAGTTTGACATGTCCCTACGTATCCAACAATAAAATTCATGTAAGCCACCTGATGGAAGGGACAACCATTTCATGAATCAGTTTCAACCCAAGCATGCTCCAATCTAGCTTCTAAAACAATAATAACTGTAAAGCATTTCCAACATTCAACAGCTTGATCAGAAGGATATCATCTATTTCTACAATGTTAGTCTCAAGCAAGTACAAAGTGTATATGTATATGCCTTCTTGTCTGTTTTCGTAAATGAACATACATATTGTCCCAAAAAAAGAACATGATAAGTGTTCCAAATAAGCCACATCAAGGAAACTGAAACTATAACTTCCATGCACAGAACATATACTTACTGTCAGGTAGTGAAACTGTAAAATAGACAGTCTAAAACCGAAGTGCCAAGGTAATGGAATAAGCAACTAAACCATATAGGGAATCATATGCCAATATCCAGGTCATAACAGTATTAACTTCCACTTGACCATATAATGCAGGGAAATGATTTATGAGAGGGGAAACCACACCTACAAATAGTGAGTAGCACCTGATGATGATGCCAAAATGTCCTGCCACTTTGTCAACATCATAAACACTAACCAGTAATAGAACCAGATAAACCAAGAAATCCATATACACTAAAAGAAGTAGATAGCAAAAAGAGACAGAATGGAACTTGAAGCTAACTGTGATCAGATACAAATACCTAAAACATATCACATAACCAGCTCTGTTTCAAATAGAACATGGAAAACAAGATTATGACAATAGAAAGTGGTTTCCTTTGCAGAAAGTTATATCAAGGGCAAGAACCAACCAGACTAAGAAGCACATAAACAAGCGAAGTCACAGAAGTCGAGCAAAGGAAGCAACTCCACAAAATGATGAATAGAGCTGTTGTACCCAAGGTAACCAGGGACCTCAAGCCTCCCACCACAGAATCCCTCCAACGCAACAGCAACCCGAAAAGAAACCCTCGAGCAACTGTGACCCAGCCGTAAACCAACCGGCAATGGCGGTCCATTAGAAACACGAGTTTCTCCTCAGCGCAGCCCGCAGCAACTCGGCCACTCACGAAGACCTGCCTCTGAGATCGAATCCATTCCTACGATTTCTTGAACCAGTCTACACTACCGCCCGCTGATGCCACAATGATACGATGCTAATCACAACCCCTTGAAGACAAAACCAAAACCAAAACCACATCACCTGAACGCCCCATCGAGAACCACGATGCAATCTTGCAACACAAAGCAAGATTTGGCTCAGCAACTCCCATAGGCGATCGTCATAACTGATCCAGAAACCACTTTTCTTGGAGGATCGAGCAGATCTCTCAGCTCAACGACTCCTCCATCACCTCCGCCATCCCGCAATCATCTTCACCCGCGGAAGATGATTTTCCTTCCTCCAGCTCATCTCGCACAACCCCCTAACCCTCTCCGCCAACCCGGCCGGGGGGAAGGGGAAGAAGAAAATAAACGACGATTTAGGGGAGAAGGAGGGGACCTTGGGTGGACGCCGAGGACCAAATGCAATGTTCCTTCTACGAGAAGCTATTTGTAAAGAAGAATCACAAGATGATGACACGTGATTGCGACAAACCCCAACTTTGTCTGGGTGTTCTGCGTCTTTTGGTTCGGCCTCCGGCACTGCTCGTGCAAAAAGCGAAGAGTGGAGGCGTAGACGGTGGCGGGTAAAGGGTTAAAGATGGGCGAGTCGGCAGCACGAGACAACAAAGGGAGAGGAGATGATGATGATGATGATGATGATCATGATGATGAGATCAAACGGACTGGAAGTTGGGGGAGCGTTAGCTGTTTCCTCCGTGCTAAATTACTTCATTTTCCTTTTTTTTTTTTTGGTGAATTTTCAAGTTTTTTATTTTCTTTATAAACTTAAATTTTGTTTCTGTAGCAATTAAATCCTTTTATCATTTTAAAAATATAGATTTGCTTAAAAATTATTGATTTTATTTTTTTTAATTTTTGGTCGATTTGTTTTAAGTACATAACATAACATGCATCACATGTAATAATAAAATATCATATGATAATAATAATAATAATTCAAAATATTCAAACTCTTTAAACCTTTTAAAATATAATTTTTTTTTCTATGACATTCGATTTGTCGGTGAATTATTATACAAGTGATAAGCCTCGAGTTTGAATCCATGTGAGAGCGTCATCATTTAATATAATAATTTTTTATTTTTTAAAGAACGAAGGTGAGTGTGATCATAACTCAGTTATTTTTTAATTTTTTTGTGATTTTAAATGCACACTAAATATCATATAGCAATACAATATGTCCAAAATAACAAAATTAAAATTTATGAAAATTGTTTTCTAATTAAATTGGAATTCATGACTAATATGCGGTCGCGTCGATCACCAAAACAAAGTTGGTAGATCAAAGTCAATTCCTTCAAAAAATTATGTTGATTGTGATTACAAATCAAGTTAGCTTTCTAATTGGCTTCACCTATCCACACAAAATATCACATTGTAGTTAGATGTGTAGGGAAAAGGAAAAAAAGAAATCAAGGTCACAAGAATAAAAACTTTAGCAATTGGTTTGGATTGTCATGAAAATTGATCAGATCATGTGCATGTCAAGCTACATTAGTTGACCTAACAACTATACAACACCATACCACTCCATAGACCACCAATTTTTCATATTATATTATATGATAATCTGAGTCATAGTCAACATTTTGATAGCAGGGGAGTGAATGGCATTATTGTTGTCCTTTGTGTTTTTTGTTGATGTGATGTCTTGACATATGTTTATGAAGTATAAAGGAGATCACAAGGGAATCAATGATGGTAATGTTGTTCTTTTCTCGATGTGATGTCTTAGCATCTTTGTATAAAAGTAGTGAAAGGTCGATCCAACAATTTATATATATATGTGTGTGCATATACAATAGTTGAGTATGATAGCTGTTGTAGAATAATCTCCATATGTGCACAGACAGCATGATGATGGATCATTGGAAACATATAAACTATGTCAGTGGGAGTGAGCATGAGAACATGGGGAAGAAGAATTATTGGCAGAAGAGAAGGTTTGGGTGGGTGGACATGTCGACATTAGAAGAGAAAAAGAAAGAAAATGACAACACTGGGGAGATCCAAAGGAAAGTAACCCTCAACCCCACTGCATCCTTCAAAATTTGCTCATGGAAGAGAAGTAATCTGAGTGTTTGGTGAAATGCATCTAATTTCTTGACAATTGCACAAAACCGATCTGCTTTGACAATCACTTGGGCGGCCGAAATAGGTTTTCGACCAAAGTAATGCGCCTTTAGAGGTAGTAATACACAATTTTCATTAAGTAGTTCACAATAGAAATTGACAAGCTCAAAAGATGAGATGGATTGCCTTCAACACATTTGTATGTTAGTACAGACCAAACAAGAATATGATGCTTCTCCATTAAAATCATGCGGTAGCTCATAAAGGGCTCCGACTTCCACTCATGTGAATTTTACAAGGTTGGGCATGCTCATCATCGATAAATTTTCCAAGACAATGAAAACAAGCCGATCGAAATAAATTAGGTATGGTTATAGAAAGAAAGATCTTACACCACTACGACAATCCCGAATGGGGACGGAGAGAGGTCCATGCTAGTTTCCCATCATGTGATCTAGCCCTCCTGCCCGAAGAGATGACACCAGGTTTGCTCCAGCCACATTGCGCAGCAGTTGTTGAAGCCATTGGTGGGTTGCTGGGTCATCCTACGATAAAAGTAGATGACACAGTTAATGTTTCATATCACTAAACAGCTGATGGAAGTACTTCGTAACCTTATTGAAGTGTTGCTGGCATCAAAATGAGTGGAAAGGGATGTGTGGTAGATATGGTTATGGAGTAGCACTTACGCGAAGACACCTGTTGAAGGTCCCATCTTTCAACATCACTGGGAGACCCCTGGTGAGAGCTTTACATGCCCTGTAAATGAGGACACAAATATACAAAGAATAGGTTCTAACAGAAGATGGAAATCAATATATTTACTACAGTAATGACTGGCAAAACAGACCTTCCATTTTCTGACAGCCTGAGGTAACATCTGATTATATGCTTCAACAACCGTGTAGAAGGTTGCTCCACAAGTGATACAACCATATTAGCTAGGATCACATCAACAGCAAAGAACCGCTCAAAGGTGGCACAGACATGTTGAAGCCCCAGATTATCAAACAAGATCTTCTGAACAATAAACGTAGCCACCTAACAAAAGAGAGATCTTTGTAAAGTCAATGACCCACAAGAGAACTATGAACCCATTTTAATTGGTCCTTCTCCCTGGCAACAATAACAGGCATCATGAGGTTTAGTGTCAGTCAATGGTGACTGATCCTACAACTTTTTCTACTTTATTTACTAGAATAAGGAGTCATCCCTCTGTCATCATGATGATGATACTATGAAAGACGAGAACATTGGGATGATGATACTATGAAAGATGAGAACATTGGGCCATACACAGCACCTCCCACAAGCAGAAGATCAAGTTTAATAGGTTAGGATCAAAATGGCAGCCCTGACAATCTGCAGAATGCTAACGTTGCCGAAAGAACAAACTGTTCAGTATTAAAGGGAAAAAAAAGTGACAGATATATTACGCACTGTTTTTGAAAGTTCACCGCCCAGCTCCATGGTGCGTAAACATAGCGGAATTATTTCAGTTTGGAGAAGAAAACTGATGGCCTCAGGATCATCGACCTACATAGGTAACACACGCATGCTCATGATTTGTTATTTGAAATCTAAAGGTGCCAATACAATGAATAAAAAATACTATCAAAATTGAAGAATTATGTGAGTAATTCAGAGATAAACGACTAAGCACCGAAAAATAGATGTGCAAATGAAGCACTATGTACCTTGAATTGTACAATATTTAGTTGCTCTTATCTCATAAGAAAGAGAAAGCCAGTGGTTTCAGCTATTCTTTTCCTTATTGATTTGGATTAGCAGATAAGGAGATGACAGGATTTTCACCCATATATTGTGTGTGTCATGATATTATGTAACTTCTATAAAATGTACTTCAAAGCTTGATTAAAAATTACTGTAATATGCAAGTATTCCTAAATTGATGAGGTGGGTGATGTAATTACCAGAGACCCCATTCATGCTTAATCCAACTAAGCCACGCCTTAAAAAAAATGTAGTTTATATACCAAGAAGAAGAACTTCTATTCCTAGGCATGGTGAAGTTAACAAGAAGTTATGCTAATGAGAATCGTTAGGTTTGTATGGATCAGGAAGGAATGGAGAGAAAAAGAGATTATCATGAAGAATGTCGACAAACTAAAATCAACAAGTAGATGATAGGAATGAGACAAGCAGCAATCATTTCAATTTATAAATACCTTAACTAGAGCCCCAATCACTCCCAAGCTGGCAAGCCGCAAGTGCTCAAATGGTCTTGTTTTGCTTGTGGTATTTAAAATTGGGTACAGATATAGAGGTATATGTGCTGTAAAAATTATTAAATTAAGATACAAAAAGAGGCATCAATGGATATATTCTGAAAGTATTAACAACAACGCAATATATGGGGATAAGAAAATTTTCATCAACAAAGAGAAATGGTTTTAAAGAACATGTAACACAACAACAGGTTCAGATAGTATACTAGTATCACATGAAATATAACATAGGCTTTTCACTGTAAGATATATAGCAGTTACAATTTGCAGAAACATGTGTGTTCAGCAGATCTATTTTCAAGGTGACCAGTAGTGAGACAGTTGCAATATCACCAAGGAGATAATGAAATAGGCTGCTGCTCTCATATATGAAGCTAGTATTTTTTTCATTCTACCGATTTTTTTCTTTTTTGGCAAAGTGTAAGTGGTGAAGACGGATCTTGATCCAGGACCTCAGTGATGTGACAAAGTCTTTTAGCTAAGCTAGCTACGACTGACCTTCACTACTGGTACAGCTATAATATGATTATTATATATGACTATGTTTTCCTTATTTTTTTTCAACTTCTCTTTTTCTTTCTTTGCTTCCTGGAGGATGCTCGTGCCAGCAAGCCAGTGCAACAATCTATGCTTACTGTACCACTCCGCCAGCCCGCAAGAATGTGGCAGTTGGTACATACTTGTAGTTAAATCCTTACTATGAAGCAAGGAAGGTGCTAAGCTAACTTGGATCTATGAATAGTCCAGCAAGAGAGCAAGGTGGTGCAAACACTATAAGACATAAAAGCCCATTGTAACAAGAAGAATGGAAGAACAAAGGCAAGACTTCCACCCAATTGTCTCTTAACAACCCTTAGGCAAGAAAGAGTATGGAATAGATGTTCACCACCAACTTTATAGAAGTAATGCTGTATAATCTGAACCTTGAAAAAGGAAAAAGAGTCTAAAATCTACTCCCATTTGTTCTACGAGTAAACTAGGATAAAATGCAGTATAATAAAAAGTCCCATGAGGCAATTTCAGGTTTGTCAAGGATCACTACGTAAATTTTATGGAAGTTTGTAGAGAAACTAAAACAGAAGCATGCAGTAAAAAAGCTTCATAAATTTAACCAATTCTTCATGTAATCCTAAAGAAGCCAAGAGGTGTAAATTCTGCATGGCATATGGACTATAGGAACTTAACTATGCACAGAAACAACATATGAGCTGCAATGTTCACAAATCAAGCATGACCAACACCTGACAGTGTGCCGATAACATTAGCTTCATTTAAGATAATAAG